GATTCATAAATTGTTAAATATGATGATGTTTGTAAAAAAAAATAAATATTTTACTAGGTATTGTAGCAAAACTTCATGGAAAATGTTTGACCAGGATTATTAGACAGATTCATCAGTCAAGAAATGAATTAATCATTTTTCAAAATTTTGACATTCAAGGCATAAGCATGTCGCCTGTGTGATGAAATAAAATTGTTTTTGTTGATCTTATTCAGTTATAGGTAACTCCTGAATTGATGAAGTACACAGAAAAATTTGTTTTTCCATTCATTAATGATGTCACTAATTATGAGAAACTGGCAAAAATTGGTCAAGGCACATTCGGGTAATTTTTTAGATGTGATTTATTCTCAGACTTCTCGTTACTTTTTTTTTCCATTTTCAATTATTTGTAGTGAAGTGTTCAAAGCGCGTTGCAAACGAACGGGTCGAATAGTTGCTCTTAAAAAAATCCTAATGGAAAACGAAAAAGAAGGCGCAAGTTTTTATTTGTCTTCTTTATTTCTTTGTTTTTATATGTTCTATAAATTTTTTTTTTGCATAACTCCATTTTAATATTACAGTTTCCAATAACTGCATTGCGGGAAGTGAAAATGTTGCAAAAATTAAAGCATAAGCACATCACGGAACTAATAGAAATATGTAGTAGCAGAGGTATATTTTTGACTTTTTGCCTGAATTTCAATAATTTAGAAGCTCGTTTAAACTACCTTCAAGATAATTGGTTGTTTAAACTACCTTCAAGATAATTGGTTGCTGTGAAGTTATTAACATTGTTTTAGCATCGGCACACAACCGTGAACGTAGCACTTTCTATTTGGTATTCACTTTTTGCGAGCATGATCTTGCTGGTTTATTATCTAATACCAACGTTCGACTTTCTTTGGTTCATATAAAAACACTGATGAAACATTTATTAGAAGGACTCTACCAAATACATTTTGCTAAAATATTACATCGTGATATGAAGGTATTGCTGTAGTTTATAATTTTTATTTGGATGATTTTAATACCACTACTGTTAATACTTATTTGGATGATTTTATGTATTGATGCTTTACATAGTATCTTTAAGGTAAGGTCTCCAGTATAAAATGAAGTTTAGAGCCTTTAAAATGTGTATATTTAAATTATTAAATGTTTCCTTTTTTTTATTGCAATAAAAATGTCTTTGTTTAGGCTGCAAATGTCTTGATTACAAAAGATGGTATTTTGAAGTTGGCGGATTTTGGTCTGGCGCGACCATTGTTTTCTAAATTACCTGGTATGCTAATTTCTTATATTTTGTTGGTCAGGATTTTTTTTCTTGGATAGCTATGTGGTTGTAGCACTTGTAGTTGTAACCACTGTCTGATCGTCGTACTTCGTATTTATGCATTATTGATGCCACTTCTATTGATGAAAAAATAATTAAGGTCAACCAGAGCACTGTTACACGAACCGAGTTGTTACTCTGTGGTACCGTCCGCCTGAGCTACTTCTTGGTGAACGTCATTATGGGCCCCAAATTGACATGTGGGGCGCAGGTTGCATCATGGCTGAATTATGGACACGCACTCCCATCCTACAGGCATGCAAACTCACTATTTTTCTCCGAGAAAGTTTAATTCCTTGATAATCATAGTTGCAGATTGTGAGAAGAAGGCATATATTTTATTATATTTAGGTCATTAAGAGTCATATGCATTTGTTGACTGTAATCTTGAAATATTGAAAAATATCTAATTTTAGGGGGAAAGTGAACAAAAACAACTTTCATTAATATCTAATTTGTGTGGAAGCATTAATTCACAGACATGGAGAGGTGTGGAAAATTTGCCACTTTTTGGCAAAATGGAGTTGCAACAAAATCTGAATCGTCGAGTTGTGGAACGTTTAGAAGCCTACGTTAGAGTAAATCTTGCTGAAATCGTGAAAATAAATATATGTGAAGCCAAAAATTGACATGCATTCTCTACGTGTCTATTTTATCAGGATCGAAATGCTTTAAATTTGATCGATAGCCTTCTTGTCTTGGACCCATCGTTACGTCTCGATGCCGAACAGGCTCTCGACCACTTGTTTTTCTTCACACAACCTCATCCTGCAGCTGATGTGAAAGATTTGATGAGTACTATCTCGGTGCGTTACTTTAATTTATGCTCACATAAAGTTAGGAAAAACTGATACCTTACCGACTCGAAAAAACCTTATTCCTACGATTTTTGTTAACGGACGACATTAATTCTTTGCAGACAAGTCTATTTGAATATACTGTTGGAAGAGGAGCACACAGTGCTCGCGGTCGCGGTGTACACCACCAAAATCGTCAGAATGTCCGGCCTTCAATAGCATCGCAGGGGCAGTATGTAGATATGGTTTTCTAACTGTACTTTATTTGTCGTTTTGGCTTATTGTAACAATAAAATATTAGTTTCGGAAAATAAATTTTGGAAAATCAGCTAGAGGAATTCGTCTATTGATTGAGTTTAAGGCAATTAAGTTATTTAAAGTTTCTTTACTTGTAATTTGTACTCTCCAAATCTAACTTTATGGAATTAAGAAATAAGAAGTGATTTATCGACAAGGTTTTAATTTAATCTCAGGAGTTAGATAACGTTGAGACTCAAGGGCTGGAAGCTAAAAAATTATGAATGTGTGGTGCATCTGATGAACAAATGATGTTCCTTAAGATCTAAAACAACATAATTTGTAAAATTCGAAACTGGCTCTTTTTTTGTATTGAAAAACAACAAAAGTTAAAGAACACTAATATAAACATTAGTCTCTAGAAACGGTTACGAATGATTTGTTCGTGTCTTCTTTTACTCATTATATAGATAGTAAAACA